ATTTTGTTTTACTGTTTTGCCTATTTTTATGGACATAACTACTTTTAAACAACTTAAAACTGTCTTTTAAAATAGGAAAAAAAAGATTGTGTAAATGATGGAACCTGGCTCTCTCCCTCATTGATATACTTAACTGTGTGCCTTACATTTAGACTCTATTTCCCCAAATTAGATTTGGGGTGACGTTGTTGCAACAATTATAAACCTTAACATTCCTAAGTGTTAACCCCTCATGTTGCCACATTTGGAGTAAAATACTTAAAAACAAGAATACTGAACAAAGGGTCAAAATAATTGTTGTCCAGCTTTTGATTAAAAATTTCTACCAGCAAAAACAGATTGTAGATTTCAACAATGGTCTTAAAATGGTATTACAGGTTATTGGACTATATCACTGAAAGGCATGCTGAAAAGCTTTTTGGAACTCTCAGACAAGTACAATTTGGAAAAACATGACCTTTTTAGATACTTTCAGTTGAGACACTATTTCAATAAAAAAAAAAAAAAATCCTGCAGAACAGGGGGATCTGGTAAATTATTTTCTAGAAGCATGTAAAGGTAACGCTCCAAAGAAACAAATAACCACTGCTTACAAATGTCTGCAAGCATCAAAGAACATTTCTAGCATATATCAAAGAAGCATTGGAAAAAGAGTCTCATATCAATATCTGAGGATGACTGGTATCTGCAGAACTGCAATGACTACCTCCAGCTCGAGTCTCTGGAGGGACTTTACTTGGAAAACTATTGTACGTTTTTTTTTTGTTACACCCTATATTAAGAGTAAGCAGAGTAATGACCCAGAGAGGGCTCAGTGTTGAAGAGACTGTGGTGATGTCAGAGCAGGGCTGTTACGACCCAGCTCGTTTGGGGTGAGGGAAGTAACAAAAATAAAACCAAGATGTAAAATGGAATAAATTAAGTAATGTTTAATTAACAGGAATGTAAAGGTAAATTAAAAAAACACAAAAAATATACAGAAAACAACCCAAACTAAGAAACAGAACAACAGAATAAACAGAGTTTTGTGCCAGAAAAGGGGTCACGCAGGCTTACACAAAAACGAGTGGTAAAACTTAGGGACACACACTAAACTAAAACACAAATTCCCCAAATTAAACCACATAAGCCCACATACAGAATCGAGTGACCAAATCAAAAAAAGCACAAAACAGAACTAGACTAACACACAAACACAAAACCAAAATGGCATACTGGCCACCAAGGCCAGCAGCCCCAAACAGGTGCTGGCAATCTCCTTAAATAGGGGGAGGTGGCTGCAGGTGAAGTGGGCGTGGACTTGCCCCACCAATCACAGACCAGGGCTCGTGCAGCAGGAATCAAGAGAACTCTGCAGAAATATTACAACTAAGGCCTGGGGCCATAACAAGGGCATTTTCATATATTCGGGGATTGTGTTTAGGGTGAATCCTACTGGACGATGGTGATAAAAGCTATTCAAAGTATATTCAGATTAGCCCTGTCAATATCATTGGGATTTACTGAAGTCTTTTTTTGTAATATTGCATGTCGAACACAGAAATCAGATAAATATCTTTTGTCAATACTATTGGCTGGAGCAAAGAAAGCCATTACCAGGAAATGGTTGTGTAAAGATGCACCTGTACTCACTGACTGGATCAAAGTAGGTAAAGGAATTTATGACATGGAGACTGACATTTTCGTTGAGACTTTCTACTGCTAAATGTAACAGGTATTGGAGGAAATGGGCCGATTATTTGGCTTCGATATGTTGATACTGTGAAGACAGATAATTATTGTTTACTCTAGATGCTCTGAAATTTTATTTTATTTGGCTTTGTTGTGGTCTGCACTTTAGTTTTGTTCTGTTATAAATATATTCAAATTTTCAAACACATACAAAAATAAAGTTTAAAATGCTTTTAAGGTGTCATGAAGATACAACCTGTACTCTGGCCTTTTGGCGCGGTCTTGCCCTTTTCTTTGTGATCGTGTCTTTAATGTGCAACAAACTTCAGTCATGACATGTATGAACTGTTATTATGACTGGGTAAAATGAAGTACAACAATGGAACTGTTAAGAACTATTTCAAGATAGTTTATTACAGAATAAATCGTGTCATGTGAATAACTTGAACCTTGCCTCTGTCTGTCTCAGGTGGGGGTTGTTTGTTGGCAATTATATTTTGTTACACTTGAAGATAAAAACCAACTACTCTGCCACATTTACACACAATCATTTAATCGTTTTATATTCCACATAAATAGATTTTTAAAATAATTTTTCTAAAGTGAAAAGTTAATTTGTGAGTGGGGCGCCAGTGGCAAAAAACTGTTGTTGTGTCCTTAGGCAAGACACTTCACCCACATTGCCTAGTATGAAAGTGGTGTGAGCGTGAGTGATGGTGGTGGTCGGAGGGGCCAATGGCGCAGATTGGCAGTCTCGCTTCCATCAGTCAGCCCCAGGGCAGCTGTGGCTACAGTAGTATATCACCACTGAGTGTGGAGTGACTGAATAATGAACTGTAAAGCTCTTTGGGTATCTTGAAAGGTGCTATATAAAATGCAATCAATCAATCTTACTTCAGATTAGGAAAAATGTGGAGGTACTATGGCTGTTAAGTCTAAATATCAATATTAGTGAATGTTATCAGCCAGAGCAGCAGGTCAAATATCAGACAGTGTCCCTCTCCTCTGTCTGTTTATCCATCCCTGTCAGAGCAGCAAACAATCCTACGAACTTCCAATGAACCAGAGATGAGGGTTCGGGCACACCATTTTTAAGTTTGTAAAAATGGGACAGTGGGGCCTTCACTGACACATAGTGGTGGGAATTTCTTACAATTAACTACAATAACAATCCAATTATACAGTTTTTTTGCTTGTAAATTTTCATCGTGGTCTCATGAAGCAACATTGTCATACATGCCCATCTGTAACCATGTCTGTCAGTGTGTGTGAAGGCTTGGAAGAGAGACAGAAGCTGCTCAGATGGTTTTCTTTAAAACAAATGTTCTTGTGAACTGAGCTTTTCTTCAGGACTTCAATCTCCACATTAGCAGTGCAGCAGCCAGTGTCTGAGCAGGTGGGGCTCAAAGGCAAATGATAAAAAAAAAAACATAAAACATGTGGATAACAAGACGTAGCATTAGAGTACATGGGCCCGGTCAAGCAGAATTATACAGCAAGGCCAAAAATTCAAGTTAATGCATCTGATATAAAAATGTATTCAACAGATACATATGTACTCTAGTTTATGAAACTGTTTACCTTTTTTCTGTACCATTTTTGGTTCTAAAGTTACATACGTTTTAAACAGACCATGTATGAAACATGGAGCAAAAATTATTTCCCAAATTTCAAAGACCTGCAAATCATGTAAATAAATGGATGTATTTCATCATATCTTGTGTTATTCGATCTTTGAGCTGTTGATGAAGGTACATCATTAAAAAAAAAAAAAAAAATGTATTCAAAATGATAAAAATTAGCTTGGAAGGACTGACATATTTTATAGAAATTGTTTCCTTTCATTTTGAAGTAATATTAAAGTATTCAGAAAAAAAAGCTGACAAATGATGCAAAATCATGCACCTTCTACTTGCTTGCACAATTTTCCCTCCGTTACTTTTCCCTCCTTTACCATGACCTTTCTTAATAAAAAATCTCATTACTCAAAAAGTAAGAGGTTTTTCAACCTAATCTTGTACTATATGGTAGAAAACTATGTGAAGCAAATATTCAAACCAGTTTGTTAAGGATATGTAAGTGAGAACCGCTAGTTATCGCTGTTTGTATTTATTGCCCAAAAAGTGCTGCATATTTCATTCCCTCCATTACCGACATGAGTTTTTAAATTTTTTGTCAACAACTTGAAAGAATATTGCAGGTTTAACTTTACCCTGTTGGAGTGTTAACTCTTTCCGACATTCTGATACCTTACTCATTTCAATAGTCCCTCTAGTTTCTGAATAAGAGCTATTTGAATGTAAAAAAAAATCTGCCCGTTTCCCTCCGTTACCGCTTGACCGGACCCACATGTAATGGGCAAATCTGCTAACAATTACAAAAAGACTCGTGCACGGGATATGGAGGTAGTATAAATTCAGTCTGGAAGACCTAATTTTGCTCTAGTCTACATCACTGCTTCTCCAGAGTTTACCTGGTTCTCAGCCTTCATCACTTCACTCCAGATACTTCTCCCCCGCTCCTTCTCTTTTCCAATCAGGTCCCAGTCCCTCATTGCAGTTGAATGGCTGCTTTGGTTTGTGCCATGCTCCACCTGCTCCCCAGCACCACATTCTCATCATCTCAGCATCCCCTTCACTTTCCTCAGCCTCACCTCTACCACTTCCAGTGTCCAGACCCTGGGGAGAAGATATCTCCTAAACGTCATCTAATCGCCCACGTCCTTCATCGCAGGGGCTTTTGCTGGGGTCTAAGCTCCAATGCTAAATTAATTCAATAAATTTACTAATACTTTCTCTTTGTGTCTGTCTGAGTCTCGACAGATTGAAATGACATTCTCCCCTTACGGCTCTGATTGGCTCAATTGCCTCAAAATAGAGAAACCTTTGGGGTCTATGGATACAAATACTGACATGACTAGTACAATTTTACAGATGTAAATCCCAAAACAGTGCCATGAATATGTGCATTTACTATGAAGCCTTGGTTTACTTATCTCATTCATTAAGTACACCTTAAAGAGGAACTACACAATCTTCTCTTTAGTCATCCATGCATAGCCCAGTTTAGCAGTTCTATATGAAATGTGGTTAAAGTCTTTTAAGATTTTGATTTACCCTTGTCTTAATTACAGTCTCTATTTGTCTACTAAATGTTTTTAATCACATTTTGTAGTCTTATATCCAATTTGGAGATGAGACCAAGTTCAAGACACTGTTCATTAAGTAGGGGGGGTGGTGTATTTGTGCTTCAGCCAATCGCCTCTTTTTCCGCCTTTTGTAGTCTATATAAAACACTCATGTAAGTCTCCCAGACACATCAGAAGAAACATGATTGCAACACTCACTGTCTTCATCCTCCTGAACACCTTCTGTAAGTAAAAACTACAATACCTATTAAATATAATGACAATATTTGCTCAAGTTTTGTTTTTGTTTTTTTTTCCAGGTCAAAGTGCAGAGGTTCAAATACCTGTGACGGTGGTCCAACCTGGAGACACTGTCACTTTTACATGTGCTTTTAAGAATAAATATGTAAACTGGTACAAACAAACCCCAGGACACATGCTGCAGTTTATTGCACAGATATATTATAGTGGTGTTAAAGTCGGTGAATCATTCAAGGATCAACGATTTATTTTCACCACAGTGGATACGCAGCCTGTTTTTACAATACAAAATATTAAGAAAAAGGACGAAGCAATCTACCATTGCATACTGCTTGATGGAATTGGACAGAATGTAGTGAACAGCACCTTCTTGGTTGTTAATGGTAAAGTATTGAGAATACTAAGTGAATAGTAAAGAGTAGCTGTTGACACTGTGTGCTCTTGTCTTTGGCACAGATGGAGCAGACTCACAGAGCTGTGTTCATGTGACACAGAGTCCATCCTCAGCTTCAGTGGTCCCAGGACGCTCAGTGTCTCTTCAGTGTTCACTTCAGCCCAAAAACAACAAGAGCCAAATCCAGTGTCCACAAGAGCAGCAGGTGCACTGGTTCAGAGCTGGATCTGTGGAGCCTCACACTGGACTCATGTCCCACTTTACAAACTCCAGCTGTGTCTACAGTCTGTCCAAAACTATAGGACGCTCCTCTGAGGCTGGGACATACTACTGCGCTGTGCACACATGTGGACATATCCTGTTTGGGACAGGAACTACACTGGACATAGGTACATCATATTTGCTCTAAAAGTCATATTTTAAGTTTGAGGATAATTGTAGAAAAAGAGAAAATGTAAAGAATGCCATTGTTCTCTAAGTCTATTGACTACTCTTAATTAAAAGTCTCATAGATAAATGTTTACTTGCGGTTCAGCTGCATAAATTCTTGTGAATGAGTTTCTTGGTGGACTCCACACATTTGGTAGGACGACAGGTAGTATGAGGAGTCACTTGGCTGAAAATCAAAAATATATTTGAGTTCACAAACTCACTGGAATAATTTTTTTCATTTTGTTCCATGTTCTCCAGTTTAGGTGTTTGCCTCAAATACACAAGAGGATCAGTTTACTCCACTTTAGTGAAACTTGAATTTGACTAAATGTTCCAACCCAAACACTTTGAATCACAGAGTTTGTAGAAGACTGATTCCAAATGTTGTTAGATTTAACAATGCTCATCTTTAATATATTTGTTGTATGGCCGTTACATTTGTCTGTGTGAACCTGTTATATGTTACTGCTGCAAACCCCCACAGGGATCATAAAGATGCCTTGAACCTTGAATTTAGAACTCCAATCAGACTGCTACACATATGAAGGCTGTGTAAAATAAAACCTAAATAAATAGGTTATAACATAACATTTAGGTTAAAATGTAATCTAAATGTTATCTATATATTTTCAGATGAGCCAAAGCCAGTGACTGTGGTTCTGTCAGTCCTGTTGTGTGTGTGTGTGCTCGTGATCATCGTCCTCTGTGTGAAGAGAGGGAGGCTCTGTGCACACTGCAGAGGTGAGATGGTACACGTGGCTAATATCTTAATAAAGTGGTTTAACATCATGTTCTTTTACAGATTCTCCTGATAGTGTTAATAGTACACAGTGTGAGATGTCAGAAAATATGGTAGGCTACTATTTGTTTCCTATACATTATTAATGCATTTGTTTATGGTGAAATGAAAAGCTTTTCTTTCTGGATTTTGGTAATAACATATTTAATTAGTTTCAACACATATTTGCAGGATGCACGTGCAGATGTCAACTATGCAGCTCTGAATTTCTCCTCCAGAAAAGTGAAACAGAGACAGAGCAGTAACACAAGAGGAGAGCAGGAGTGTGTGTACTCCAGTGTGAGAGCAGAGCACCACTGAGAGACTGATCCTCACAGGGCCCAGGCCAGAATAGATTGTGATTTTACATATTCTACTTCTGTGAAAGTTTTGGTCATAATGCTATTTTCTGTTTAACATCCTGCTCAAATTCACATGTCTACATTTTTTACAGAGGTTTTTTTTACTTCTCTAAGGTTAATCGCTAAATCATAACATATTTAGATCACCATTTTATCTTTTATTGTTTTGAAAATGCTGTATTTGCTAAAAACAATTTATTAACATGTTTTACAAGTTTGACTGTTGTTTTTGACGCTTTTGATGAGTCCCCCCTCTCTGTGCTCTCCATGCTAAGTCACACCCCTTTCAGATGATCACTATCACCACACAGTCAGTGTGCGTCCCGCAGATGAAACTGGTGCACATCGCATCAGGTTTGTCAAGTTGCTGTCTACAGTTTTTAATCATTCTTTTGTATATTTATGGAGAATTGTCATGTGGGAGCCTGGATGATGTAGACTTGTGGGCCCAGGAGAGATCGCTAAAACACTGAAACATCTAAAACTTTTTCAGGTGTGTTTTTGATGAGGGAACAATGTTATAACATAGTAAAAGCTAAAAACATAATTTTGCATAATACCCACTTTAAAGCTAAAGTTAATACACTTTTTTTTTTCAAACTTGAATGTCTGTAAGATTTAAACAAATGAAAAGAAAATATTAAATAAAACGTACCAAGCACCAATTGGTCATTTCTTTGATTTTATTTGCTCGTACAGTCAGTTCCAAATACACATTCATATGCACCAGCATTGTTAGCCGTTATAATTACATTCATTTTCTACATGTATCTCTATTGTGTATGGTGTATTTTAAGGTTTTAAGTCTGAAAGACTCAAATCAGTACGAATGTTCATGGTCCCGTTTCATCAACTACAAAGTATCAGTTGTTCATGAAGGAAATGTTTATTAGTTTAATTTCACTGTTCATATATTTACATTTTATTTATTTCCTTATTACATTATTTGTTTCCTATTGCTAATCTTGCAGTCACCTAGAGTTGATTTTAAAAGTAGACCCATTAAAGCTCCATCTTTACACATTATTTACACATTTCACCACATATTTTATCAGAAAATAGTTTATCAGAAAAGTTACTGTACCAGAATGAGATCTGATTCTACTTGACATGAACAAAAGTGACATAAGTGTAGAACCCATTCTGTTTCTGACGCTTCAATCGCCCGATGCAGTGCGGCTTCACACTCTGACTTTTTTATCCCCACCTTTGTTGTAGGAAAATATAGAATTGGTCATAGAAGCAACATTAACATGAATCATGAAAATATATTTTAGTACCTGTAGTTCTTGTTGATTGTGGCCTTGGTTTGTTTTGTTGAGTTTCTTCATGGTCAAACAAATGGGAGTAATAATGACAATGAGACCAAAGACAGAACTCAGCAGGATAAGGGTGATATTAGCCGTGTGTGAATTGCAATTGTTCTCTGTTTGGAAAAAATAATAATCAACAATGAAGAACCTTTTTAGACCTTAAAACATTAATAACAGTCTATTCATTCTGTAATACCTTTAATACTGACTTTCGTCCCATTTCCCAAAGAGAATGAGTCCACAGGCTGCCACAGCACAGCGGTACGTCCCTGTGTCAGAGGGGCTCATGGTTTTGGACAAAGTGTAGAGACATTTGTGAGGACCAGGATCTTCTGTGCTCCTCTTACACTGAGCAGAGCTGTTCCTCTGAGTGTAGACTAAACCAGGACCAGACTGGTCCAGTCCAGACCTGAACCACCAAACCATGTGCTCCTCAAAACATTGAGCATTCTCCATCTGGACCCAACACTGAAGATCCACAGAGTCTCCTGAGTCCACTGGACCAGACAGATCTGGACTCTCCACTCTCACGTCTGAGTCTGGGCCTGAAGAATGTCAGAATATGTCAAATATTAATTATAATAATTATTGGGAACTATGGACAGAAAACCCAAAACATTCCACATGTCTCCAGAACAGTTGATAGTTAAGGTCAGTTAAATACAATCAATCAATGAACCTGCCCAGTGACGACAGGTGGAAATTAGCACTGATGCTACAACCTGATGTACAATGCATCTCTCCCGTTGAGGTTGATGTGAAAATTGTGCGCTGTCCCTGCCTCAAAATAAATTTAATAAATAAAAAAAGTAGTTTACCTTTAATGTGTACAAATATGACACTGGCAAAGTCCATGTGTCTGTTCAGATTTTGTACTTTCACACAGTAGTAAAGTCCAGTGTCACTCAGCTGTGGTCTGTCAATACTCAGAACAAAGAATCCAGGTTCTTGTTTTGTTTTAATGGAAGAGATGGTCCCATATGATTTATCGTCATCATATGTCGATGTTCCTCCTAAATATTCCGGCACATTTCCAGGAAGAAGTCTGATCCAGTACAAATACGTGTTGCTCTCAGAGGGATCACGGGGACATCGTAGAGTCACTGTTTGTCCCACATCGGAGGTCTCTGTATCAAGCACAGGACCACTGGCACAACCTGTCAAATAAACAGGGATAAATGTCACTGTCACAACAGTTTAAAAAGCACGATTTACATAAATATATTTGTAAATACTTACCTGACAGTCTGAGAAATGCCAGTGCATATAAGAGATAGAACACTATCATTTTGTCCTATTGGCTAAATGCACTTCTGCATATTAATATGGAGGCTTATGATAGTGATTTTGAGGGAGGAGCATGTCATAACAGCGTGATTGGCCTGAGACAAATCTCTTCATGAACCACACATTGTACAAATACATGTATGGTTTTGAGAGACCGCTCTTTGCTTTTTTTTTTTTTTTTTTTTCTCCTTATCAAAACCTGCACTAAACATTTTGCAAACTAATGTGGCAGAAATGATAGAGAAACATGAATTGAAAGCATTGTTTTAAACTTCATTGTACATTGTTTTCTAAATACAATAGTTTTAAATAAATATATGCTAATTTAATAGATAAACTTGGTCACAGATATGGTGCACATCCTTAAAAACAATTTAAAGTCTAATCTGTCTCCTGCACAGGAGTATCTCCTTGCTGTGAGGCATTATATTTCACATCACCTTCATGTATTTATAAATAAAAATTTAAAATATTCTTTATTAGAAATGTGACCGAGCTTCAGAAAAGGCCTGTGGACTATGTAACGTTTTTTTTATATTTGTACATGATTTAGTTGTGTATAGTGTAGTGCTGTATTATTTCTGTGGATAGTGACATGTCCTTTCTCTCAGTCTAGTGTAAACAGGAAGCCTGAACACGAGCTGCTGCTTTGGCCAGCGGTGTCTTTGATACTTCAGTACAGTCACAGTCAGATGTTTTGGTTCATACAAAAATACATTTCTAACCCTCTTTGAGTATGTGGTCTGAGGCTATCCAGCACTATTTTCTGACACAGATAAAGTTGGTTCCAATATGGGTATTTAATTAATATTAATATTTAACATCGATATATTTATTTACAACCCCAGTCTCTGTGCACATGTGTCATTCCCAGTTCAGTGCATCTGATTTGTCTTTTTTGAACAGACTCATGAGGAACAATGGAAATAGAAGAGCAAATAGGCTATAAATATGACTGTATGTTTACACACAATCATGTAACAAGCTTTTACATGTACAACTTATATTCCACATACATATATTTTTTTTTATTTCTACAAAATGAAAAGTTAATTTGTGATCTTTTGCTTCAACCGTATTAACAAATATGGCTTATCAGCCACAGCAGCCAAGAAAAATATCAGATACTGGCATAATAATCCATATGGGATCATTTGACACAGACATTAAGGTTCACACTAGACCAGGGGTGGACAAAACTTATTCGTAAAGGGCCACATCTTGAAACGTATTTGAAGCTGAGAGCCACAGAGCAGTGGTCAGCAGTGATCCTTCATGGTTGGATGTTATGTAACTTTAACAGAGCTGCCATGAGTTTTAGATCTGTATCACAGTGCAGTGTGAGTTTGTTGAGGTCCTAGTGGTAGAATTACTACATTTGCTGTTAAAAGTTCTATTTATGATCAATTGAGCCAGTTTAGCAGAAGGCCTGAGGGTCAATAGAAACTGGAGGACAAAATCTCCATAGCTTGGACACCCCTGCAATTAGACTAAATGTATTCTGTCCTTTTTCATCTAAAGTCCAATTAGAATCATTACTGAAGGGACGAGGATGATGATGCCTGAAGTACAGCAACTGTTTTTTAACTTATAACTTCTTGCACTAAACATAACTTTGCATTTTCACTCTATGATTGTTCTCCATTGTTGTAGATGACACAGTTATACTAATGAGCAGTCAACAGGAAGGGCAGTGACAGAAGGTTTTTCAACGTCACTACAGCTTAGTGCACCAAAACCACACATGTCCGCTCTCTCTACACAGAGCTGTGTTGTGGTTGAGTTACCTGCTGCTGAGTTCCTGACGTCACTGAAAGTCCTACATACTGTTTAAGTGACTAGTTTGAGTTTATATGTTGTTTACTCATCTGGTGTCAAGAGTAGCCAAAAACTGAACTTGTGTAAGAGTAACCTTACTTTGAAGTAATATTACTCAAGTAGAAGTATAAAGTAGTGGTTCAAGACATTACTCAAGTAAGAGCAAAAACCTATGTGAGAAAATTACCACTAAGTAAGAGTAACTTTAAAAGTAACTGTCAGGACGTAACATTCTGTTTATAATTTAAGGGTAATGAAATTTGAAGGACAAAACATTAAATAATGCACAAAAAGTGGTATTTTTAGAAGATAAACACAAAAATATGAAAAGTCCTTAAAATGTTACTCATGTATTAGTAACTGAGTAAATGTAACTGAGTGTTACCCTCCTCATCCATGTTCGGGTAATCATGCCTGTTCAGGATCTTCCTCACCACTTCCCCTCAGTCCCGGTCTCTTCATGTCAATGCTAGCAGCTATTACTTCTAACCCAGTTTAAAGTGTTTAAGCTGGTCTCTATGAAAGAGGAAATGCCAATGGAAAAGTTTTTGGTTAATTAATTGGCAAAGTCCAAATGATTTCTGCTTGAATAATGTAAAATAATGTCCAAAGTTTACAGATAGGGCTGGTCGATATGGTGAAAAAATCTAATTGTGATAATCTGAGTGTGAACTTTCAGAGGAAGGAGATGAAAAGCAATAGAAAAATACAGTGTTTATGAATCGTGACATAAAATCCAACTCCAAGAAAATTGTAACATTAATTTTTTGCTATATCACCGATTGCCCACCCCGATTGCTTCTAAGGGTGCATTTACACTTTGACAAACACAACATCTACGTTGATTCAAAACTGGGACTAAATCTGGAACTCAACCTGGACTAACAGGACCACATCTATACTAAGATTCAACTGGGCTCAAACCAGAACCAAACCAGGACACCCTCATTCTAAATAATGGAAATTTACAGCCAACTTACTGAGTTACAGATTTATTTCATATACACTTTTACGTTATGCTCATTTACCATTATTTAATAACAGTACATGAAAATTAACCTAAATAAAATGGATTATAACAATTAGTATTAAAATATTACAAGTACATTGTTTAAGTATATGTTCCACGTATTGAGTCGTACAGCCAATAAGGTCATGAAATAAAATACATCTTTAAATATCTATAAAATGGTCATGTTTTTATTTCCTTACATCAGAGTAGACCACAAAATCCTCTGCTTTCACCTTTCTGCAGTGGGTTTTCTCAGGTTTTTTCTTGTTGAACTTTGGAGCAGAATACGTCAGTTCATCTTCTCTCTGAAGCAAATCAATTTGAAATAGAAAGAGAACAAAACTAATAACCATTTATATGTGCATTTTTTGTTGCCTTACCTGCTGTCTTGTGCGTTCCCTTCTGTTTACATCATCAGCTTTTTGTCCATCTGAAATTAAAGTGGGCGATTTCAGCATCTTATTTTGGGATTTATATAATTAAATAGAAGGTATAAAACTGCAGTACCACAAAAACAAGTGCAAGACTTCTTCTTTATAATGGAATAAATGAGAACCATTATAACGATGACATTGACGGTTAATAGAGCACTTAGCACGATAATGATGGTCTTCTCAAAATCACACTTGTTCTCTATAAGAATGGACAAATGAAAAGTTGAAATCAATGGTATGTTCAAATAATGTGTAAGTTGTAAATACCTTTGACAGTGACTTTAGTCCCATTCCCAAAGAGAATGAGTCCACAGGCTGCCACAGCACAGCGGTACGTCCCTGTGTCAGAGGGGCTCATGGTTTTGGACAAAGTGTAGAGACATTTGTGAGGACCAGGATCTTCTGTGCTCCTCTTACACTGAGCAGAGCTGTTCCTCTGAGTGTAGACTAAACCAGGACCAGACTGGTCCAGTCCAGACCTGAACCACCAAACCATGTGCTCCTCAAAACACTGAGCATTCTCCATCTGGACCCAACACTGAAGATCCACAGAGTCTCCTGAGTCCACTGGACCAGACAGATCTGGACTCTCCACTCTCACGTCTGAGGCTGAGCCTGAAGAATGTCAGAATATGTCAAATAGTTACAGTTAACTACTAAAAAAAAAAAAAAAACATTACCTTTCATGTTTAAAAATATGACACTGGCAAAGTCCATGTTTTTGTTCAGATTTTGTACTTTCACACAGTAGTAAAAGTCCAGTGTCACTCAGCTGTGGTCTGTCAATACTCAGTACGAAGGATCCAGGTTCTTGTTTTGTTTTAATGGAAGAGTGTGGCGATCCATATGATCCACTATCATTAAATGACGGAGTTCCTCCTAAAGATTCCGGCACATTTCCAGAGAGAAGTCTGATCCAGTACAAATATGTGTTGGTCTCAGAGGAATCACGGGGACATCGTAGAGTCACTGTTTGTCCCACATCGGAGGTCTCTGTCTCAAACACAGGATCACTGGCACAACCTGTCAAATATACAATCAGATTTATAATTAATTTACTACAAAACAGTGTAAGTAATGTTGTCTACAAAGTACTTACGTGTCAGTGTGAGGAACTCCAGTGCACATAAAAGATGGAACAATATCATTTTGACCCACTGGATAGAACAGTCCTCTGCAAGCGCATTATAAAATGTTGGCTGGTTATAATGATGAGTGGGAGGAGCACTTCAGAACTATCTGATTGGTCTGTGACTCTTCATATCTCCACTGAAAATAATGTTACCAAATACTTCTCATTTAACCACATCATTCAATGGACAATATGTTTCACACTTTTAAGACACGCCTTGTTTGTAGAAAGCCTCAATGTTCAGTCCATCTGCAGCAGGAAAATCATCGATAATATTCCTTTTATAAAACCTGCAAACCTGAGGTGACCAAATTAGGGTTACGAAAAAGGAGGACTCTGGTTCTGGCCTAGTCTGCTGTATTCCACTGCACTTTACTGGGCTACAAAGCCACAGGCATTTTAGTAACATAAGACTCAAAAAGGTTCACAGATTAAAAAAGTTTTATTGTCGGTTTAAAAACAGAAAATTGTCTTTGACGTGTTTCACATACACACACTGTTTCATTATCCTTAAAACACAACCTTACAAAAATTGTTCATAAAACTGAATGCATAACCTACATGTGACTATTTACTGAGACATGTGTGGATTACATGTAAAACCTCTTCAGGCATATTTTGGATGAGGGAATAACGTTCTAAAAAATCTATTTTGTATAATATCCTCTCTTTAAAATGCCCAGGTTAATCTGAAAGCTCCTCAACAGGCGTTGCTGTGTCCAACAGGACCCCCAGATTCTTGCAGGACTCCACCTGCTCCACTGTCTGTCAGTTCAGGCTTAGAGGCTCAAACAGGGACTGAGATGCAGGTTTTTATCTGCCACTACAGCACAGTTATAAGGTTTTGGAGACATTAAGCTTCAACTATTTATACAAGTCATGAGCGACTTGATCTGCTGAGGTTAGCTTCAAGATCCATGTCATTTGCATAGTAGAGCAGGGTTAGACTGCACTGTTACAGGTGATGTAACTGGTGTATATGGAGACTAAGATCGGTGCATAGACTGTATAAAAAAGTGGACTAAGTGAGTGTGAAGTCACCCATAGAGTTAAACGCCACTCAAATGAAGCTCGCGATGCTAACAGTTACAGGAGTGAATTTGGAGCCAGGCTCTATGTTATGAATAGGATTTTTTTGATGGACAAAATAGTGAGAAAAAAACAGAATCATGTAGAGCGGATTAATACGAACATTTTAAGACCAAAATGACGAGGATCACAGCAGCAGACACAGAGAGACAGACCACAATATTTCAAGTGTAAATCAATGGGAGCCAGGGTCAGAAGGAGCTGGAGGAGCCGCATGTGAACTTCCTATTTGGAACGTGGTGGTTAGAATGTTAGCTCATATATACAGATCTATGGTGACGATAATACACAGCCATGAACAATATTTGTGAATATGACCAGGTTTTTGGATTTCACACTGGTTAAACTGGGTCTATCTGATCATTTGAATCAGCCAAAACAAAGAAAAGTGGGCCACACAAAGCTGTCAATCAATAAAGAGTTCAAATCTGTGAAAATCTCTGGCAAAATAGAAGATGTCTGGTCACCGTACACAAACCAAGAACAAAGAACCTGACAGACCTCTATGTTCAGTTTGAGGTTAGTTTCAGTGTAACTAGCTCCTCCCTTCAGAGAGATATTTTTGTCAGAACTTGGTCAGAACTGAATTAACTACATGGCTGAGTGGTGAAATGTATTTACTCCAAAAATGTTGTCCACTTGTCACATAGTTTGTTTGTTGTACACCATTTTGAGAGAGACCATGACAACTGTGCACATGGAACATTGTGGTTTGTTTCAAAATGAGCTGTGAAATATAATCATCCTGTGTTGGCAAATAAATGTTTTTTTTTTTTTTTAAACACCATTAGATTTTCCGTGCATTTGGAGGACGTGTAAAACAACATATCAAGACTGAACATATCAAATGACAACAGCAGCAGATACACTTGATCGTCCATTGCACTGCTACTTTTAAAAGAATGTGGTTTTCTTGTATGTGGGTGGCTTTGGGGCTTGGTCAGTTAGTCTCCTCTTTGTGAAACTGCTGCTTGGTTTGTCTGCACAGTCTGAGGTTGACTGGTGGAAAACTTTGCACTAACACCTCACATGCACATTTAGTCATGCTGCGGGTCCCATCACGAATAGTTTAACATTTAAGTGCACGAGATTCTCTTTTGAGTGGATCCTGAAGTGACCCTGGTATTTACACTCTGGTTTAAAGAAGATACAAAATAATGTGATTTGATGAGCAATTATAGTTGATAACTCTTAGTGCTTAGTGAATCTTATCATTAACCTGAATGTATTTTAACCCCCTGTTCACACATATTTGGTTCTTTGGCTGCAGGTAGACTGGGACAAAAGTGGTTAGTGCACTCGGAGTTCTCTGTGCATGTAAACATAGTGACTGACAGTGCTGACCATTCAAAGTGAAAGTGAACGTGTGTTTGATTCTGTTGGTGATGTGATCTGAATTGTGAACTTTGCCACACTCACACACTTTCCTTTGACAAAAGCAAAAATGCTCTAAAGCTGTGGTTACATCATGAGTGAACTGACTTCCTCATCTCTGGACAGAACTGAAAGTGTTTGTTTTACTAGCTGCCTCAGAAGGAGGTTGGAGCTTCAGTCGCTGCTCTATGCCATTATGAAACAAAAAAACAAAGATACAAAATTTGAATATTTTTAATGTTCTGTAATTTACTTGAAACAATATACACAAATCTTGAAATTTTCATTTTGGAATATATAAAGGTTCTCTTATCTTAAATTGCTATACACTACTACATACTACATTATGTATGACAAAAAAAAAGCTGGAATTTTAATTAAGCTTGTTTATAATAACAATGATAGACAAGATGGGATTTAATCAGTTTGGTTAATAAGAAATAGACTGACTAATACAGAATGGTTTAGTGGCCTTAGGACATGGGTGAACTCTTAATGACTTGACTTTACAGTTTAACTCTCACATCAGAGTAGAGCACTTGTTCCTCTGTTTTCACGGCTCGGCGCTGGGACCTGTCGGCTTTGCTCTTGTACTTGAGGGCAGAGTACATCACCTGAGCATCTCCCTGTGAAAGATACTTCATTTAAAGGTATTATTAGTAGTAGTATTCATATTTGTCATTCAGTGCATCTTACCAACTGCCTTGAATGTTCATCACTGACTCTTTCATCAGTGCAAGTTTGTCCAACTAAAACAGAAACAGGACATTAAAGGTTTGACTGGAGGCATACCTTTTGACAGAATTTGGGAACTTGAATTACCATGGAAACAGAGTCCAGTCCTCTTCTTGATGAAATAAATGAGCACCAGTATAACTATGATACTGATGGTTAGAGCAACACTCAGCAAGATGAGAATGATTTTCCATAAAGGCGATGTTTCCTCTGCTGTAATAATATGATTTTGTGCTATAGTAAAATAAAAAAATAAATAAATAAATATAATACCTTTGACAGTGATTTTAGTCCCATCCCCAAACAGAATGAGTCCACAGGCTGCCACAGCACAGCGGTACGTCCCTGTGTCAGAGGGGCTCTTGGTTTTGGACAAAGTGTAGAGACATTTGTGAGGACCAGGATCTTCTGTGCTCCTCTTACACTGAGCAGAGCTGTTCCTCTGAGTGTAGACTAAACCAGGACCAGACTGGTCCAGTCCAGACCTGAACCACCAAACCATGTGCTCCTCAAAACACTGAGCATTCTCCATCTGGACCCAACACTGAAGATCCACAGAGTCTCCTGAGTCCACTGGACCAGACAGATCTGGACTCTCCACTCTCACATCTGAGTCTGTCTCTGAAGAGCAAAGTAATAAATAGAATCATATTGTACAATACAATGAATGATGCAAATGTTGTTGTTACCCTTAATTATTAGAAATATTCCAAATACTAATTCCATTTTAAGGAGGTTTACTTTCACACAGTAGTAAAATCCAGTGTCGTTGAGAATAGACTGATGTATGATCAGATCAAATGTTCCATCTCCTTGTTTTGTCGTGGTGCGAGGAGTCTTGCTAACATTTGTATATTTATATGAAAAAGTTCCTCCTAAAAATTCTGGCACATTTCCAGAAAGAACTCTGATCCAGTGAAACGTTGGTGACTCTGTAAATTTGACAGAACGTGGACATCTGAGAGTCACTGTTTCTCCAGGGTCATGAGATCTTGTCACAAATAAATTACTGTCTGTACATCCTGCAACACAAATGTAGTTACAAAAATAACGAGCAGGCACAACATCTTATTCAAGTGTCAATACTTACGGGCCACTTGGAAGAAAAGGGCTGAGTATAATAAAGTCCACATTTTCTGGATCTTGTAGTTTGTTGATGAGTACGCTGTATGAAGTGTAATATCAAATGGTGCCTCTGTTTTATTATAATGATGACAAAGGGAGGAGCTTTCTCTGATTGGTTCATATTTGGCTTTACATGACTACAGGAAATAATGTCGCCAAGACATAAAACAAAACATAAGCTTATATAATTAAGGTGATACCTTTTTTCATGTCCACTGTGAAGTCTGATTATTGAATGAATACATTTAAAAGTTTGTTTAATCACATATAAATTCACTTAAAGATGGGATGTTATGCAAAATATTTTTGGGTGTTTTTTACCTTGTAATGACAATGTTCCCTCATCATAAATTTGCCTGAAAAGGTTTTAGATGTCATCCATGCATCTTTGAGTAATTTAGTGATCTCTCCTGGGCTCTCTTTGAACCGTCTTTACGGTTAGCTGTAAGGAGCTGTAATTCTGTTCAATGCTCAGCCCACAAGCCTACGTCACCCATGCTCCCACACATAGACTCTATATGTAAATGGACAAAGCTACCACGCTAGCCGCTGTGTTCCAAACAGGAAGTCCTCATGCAGGCTCTTCCGGTTCTTACTAACCATGGCTCTTATTGATTTACACTGGAATATTGTGGCCCCCTCACTGTAACTGCTGTCCTGAGCCTCGTCATTTTGGTCATAAAATGTTCGTATTCACTCGCTCTACATAATCCTGGTGTTTTTATTTTGCTATTTTGTCTGTATAAAAAAATAAATCCTATTATAATCTCGAGCCTGGCTCCAAATTCATTCTTGTAACCGCTTCGTGAGCATTGTGAGCTTCATTTGTGTGGAGCCAAACGCTGTAGGTGACTTTACACACAGTTCTTCTTTATACAGTCTGTGTTCCCATGCAACAATTTTCCATAAATTTACAAAAGCATGATAGAAAATTGTACACAGCAACTTGATGTAATATGCAGTTGTATCATGACTGAGAAGCATGCTTTTTATGTTGTGATACTGCTCTGAACAGGAAGTGTCTTAGCATAGAGAGCAAAAGGAGGGAATACTCAGAGCAGCAAAAACTAAACTGAAACTTATTAAACGTGTTCATACATTGTTTTTGGCGAATATAGCATTTTCGCATTTGTCCTTTTCAGCTTGTCTCCATGGTAACGTTTGTTATTGCTTTGCCTCGGATGTTGCACAGTATGGCATTAAACACATTGTTGTATTTAATCAGTTACAGGTGTTTTTATTTATTTGTGGAGAGCAATGGATCATACTGGCACAATGAATTGATCGGTTAGGCCAGGGGTGCTCATTACGTCGATCGAGATCTACCAGTCGATCGCAAAGGCATTTTAGGTAGATCACGTCCCGTCATCCATCCAGTCACGTCATGTAACTAATATACAGGACAGTCAGTCAGATTACACCTGACCCTAGGTCACGTCACGGCGCCGCACACGCATAAACAAGCGCGAGTTAGCTTCAAGTTTGATTAGCTCTTGGTGTTTTATCTTCAATTTAAGAAAGGGCATAAACATGAGTGAGGGAGCCAGGCCAAGTAAAAAGACAAAAACGTATCACTTTCATACAGAATGGGAGGAGGATTTTTTTTTTCACGATGTCATTTTCCAAGTGCGTTTGCCTTATCTGTCAGTGTACTGTTGCAATACCAAAGAAGGGAAATGTGGAACGGCATTTTAGGGCTATTCATAAAAAATATGCCACCGACTTCCCGATGAAAAGCAAACTGAGAAAGACAAAGGTGAGAGAATTGAAGTGTCAGTTGTCTGGACAGCAGTCACTTTTCACACAACACAGTTCAAAAGCGAGTCACATCCTCGTTAAACACAAAAAGTCCTTCCAAGATGGAGAGATGGTAAAAGAGGCCTTTCTTCAAGCAGCTGATCCATTATTCAGAGACTTTAAAAATAAGACAGAAATAGTATCTTCAATCAAAGCTCTCCAGCTGTCAAGACACACAGTTATGCGTCGCAGTGAAGCCACTGCAGAGGATTTGACCCGGCAACTGTGGACAGACATCGCAGATTGTGAGTATTTCTCACTGCAAATGGACGAGTCCAGGGACTTGAGTGACACTGCCCAGATGTGTTTTTTATTCGTATGGTGTTTGCTAATATGACTGCAAAAGAGGAGCTATTAACAGTGCTGGCACATGAAAGAACAGACACAAGGAGAGGACATATTTCAGTCATTCAAAAACTTTATAGAAAAAACCCAGCTCCCAGTGTACAAACTGGTGTCCATCACCACGGATGGAGCACCTGCAATGATAGGGCGCGTGAATGGATTTATAGCCAAGTGCAGGCAGGACTATGTTTTCCCTGACTTTTTGAATTACCACTGCATAATTCACCAACAAGCTTTGTGCGCTAAAGTGCTAAACATGAAAGAAATCATGGATGTGGCAACGAAAATCGCCTGTTCTATTCGCGCCAGGGCTCTTCAATGGCGGCTTTTCCTTGCGCATCTGGAGAAGGCTGACAGTGACCACTCTGAGCTGTTGCTACATACTGACATGAGATGACTTAGTCAAGGGAAATTCCTACAAAGATTTCGAGAGCTCTGTCCGGACATTAAGGAGTTTGTGAGGCTGGACATAACGAATGTCAGCAACTAAGTGGCGGTCAGTGGCTGTTAGACCTGGCATTTTTAACTGATCTGACAAACATGCTGAATGACCTTAATCTAGAGCTGCAAGGAAAAGACAAAACCGTAATCAACATGATTAGCTCTGTTCACGCTTTCAAATGAAAAATGCAACTTTACTCCTCAAAGCTGCAGCGCAATGATTTGACAAATTTCCAAAACTTGGCATCAGAGCTGGAGGCCCAAGGGAAAGCCCGTGTGTAACTTAACAGTGCGCGCTACACAGAGCAGATTGACAGTTGTTTGTCAGAGTTTGACAAACGCTTTCAAGATTTTTCTTTGCTTGAGCCAGTTGCCACATTCATGTGCTATCCATTTCAGGAAGATGCTGACGTTGATTCACTTTCATCAAACATGATAACACTGTTTCACCTGAACTCTAATAAAGTGGAAAAAGAAATTTTGACATTACAAACAGACATTCAGCTGAAGTCCAGAGCTCATGGACAGTTTTGGGACCTACTCACAGAGGAAAAGTACCCCAACATGAGGAAATGTGCTATCACCTTGACTGCATTATTTGGCTCCACTTATTTATGTGAGTCAGCCTTTTCCCACATGAAGATCATTAAGTCCAAGTACCATTCCACTATGATTGATGACCATTTGGAAGTGTGCTTGAGGCTGGCTGTCAGCAGCTACTGCCCGAACTATGCATCCCTCGCTGATTCCATTCAGTGCAAGTCATCAGAGCAGTAATCATCATTCAAGTAATTACGAACATGTAAAAAGTTTAATTGTGTTGTGCAGTATTATCTCATGACGTTATGCAAGGTACATCAAAATGTGTTCATAATATATTTACAAATAAATATATGTTTAACATTTTTGTATTAGGTGGTAGATCTTTCAGACACGATCATTTTAAAAGTACCTCACATACTGAAAAAGTCTGAGCACCCCTGGGTTAGGCTGCATGGTGTTCTCCGCAGATAGCCTACATGACGCTCTCTTTAAAAATGCAAATGACTGTTTCTCTCAGTGAGGACATTTTCCCACTGTCTCATATCCTTTCTGGCCGAAGTATTCTCTGATCAAGTGTTTTGCATCGGCTCATATGATTTGGGGAGATTTGGGGATGGGAGCACAGAGTCTGGAGAAGTACTGACAGTTTCCTCCCCATTTTTATACCGATTCCCCTAAACGCTGCCAATACGCCATTATACGGTAGCTACAAGGTAGAAACATGTTCAGTAAGTTCTGTGATCATCTGGAACATGTTAAATACGTCTGCATATGTCATTATGCGTTGGAGATAAGTTCGATATAAGTTACACATAGCTTCAAAGCACGTTACTCATAAGTCATGGGTACGCTAGACATTTTCTCAACATATTTGGACTTATGAGGAACTTACAATTAACGTGTCAACGATCGCATAACTTACCTACAACTTATGGCCCATGTATGCAGGACATATAAACATACGCTGACATACGTCGAGAAATTTTCAGCATGCTCAGAATTTTTTGACGACCTTGCCTTATTTCGCGTATGCCAGCGTGCTTCAGCGTGCTCATAACTCATACAATACTTACCTAGAACTTATCCGACGTACGCCAGCGTATTTGCCAAATTTTTCATAAGTCGGCATACGCTGGCTAAATCATCAAGGTGTGACAGCGGCATTAAGCAGGTTGTGGATCCCCTACTGAAAAAGTTCAGTTTTAAGTACCTCTTTGAAGTCTTCTAATTAAGTACCTTTAATTTTGATGAAGTTTTAAGTTTTGCTAAAAAAGGCATCATTTGCACATGCTGAAAAATGACTTAGATCCAAGACGTGCTATAAGCTTACCCCGAATTCACACCAGGAGCTGCAGCAGTGCTCAACGTAGGCGGAGCTGCGTGTAGGCGTAAATTTCAAAGTTTCAATTCACACCAGAGTGTCAGAGACGCTCCTGCTATGCAGCCTGTACATCTTCTCACTGTTTTCAGACATCACATTTTGTACTTGCTTTTTATCATTTAAGTGTATTAAGTTAGAATGTGTATTAAATGTATTTTGAATTAAGTGTACAACTGCAATGCATTTGCGTTTAATGAGGTTTAAATCTATTAGCACGCACATTAAACACCTCCGTTTTTTTCCTTAATAAGGTAAAATCACCAATAATAAACATACATTATGAGCGTGATTAAAATCTTATGTCCGTCCAGATAATAAAGCCTATATGTTTATATGTTGATACAGAGTCCTGCACCGACGGATACGGGCAAATAGTCACTGAAACGGGCGAGTTTTAATGTTCTGGAATTTTAAGGGCGGGTCAGGACTAAACCAGGACTACATCAGGACTAAACCAGGTCTAAACCAGGACTAAACCAGATCTAAACCAGGACTACACCAGAACTACATCAGGACTAAACCAGGACTAA